CCGACCCTGGCGTCATCGCTGCATTAGAAATGCAGTCATACGCATATTTTCCGGTGCATGTTATGTGGATGGAGTAGCTCTAGCGATGGACATGTGCATCTTAAAATAGGGATGTATGCAGTCATACGCATATGGATTGAGTGATTCTAATAATGATCATGTGCAATACATTTTTCATCATCCTATCTGTGATGAATCAAGATCACTTTAGACTGTTGTTCCAATTTTTGTCATTAAACTACGTGTGTATCTGTAAGTCGATTGTATTATTTCTCGTGAAATCATCGCACTCGCTCTTGCTTAGAGTGAGATTGATTGAGAATTACCTTAAATTTTGCTAAAAAAATATGAAGCAACTTTCAAATGAAGGATTTACATTGCTGATGTTCTTGCTAAAGTTTTGCGGTCTCGTAATGTCAGCGCCTGAATACCACAACATTAACTTGTAGGAGCTCGTTTTGTATACCTCTGAGATTGAAGGCGTTTTGCCTCTTGGTCGCTTCTTACCCGCTGAAGATTCATGACTGTCTTATGATGTTAGCTCCTGACTACCACTATGTTGACTCTTAGGAGCTCGCGTTGCATATCTTCGGAATTGAAGGCGTTTTGATCATTTGTCGATGTGACTTTTTCCAGCTAAGGATACGTGGCTGTCTGGCAATGCCAGCGTAAGGAGCCTGAATATCACTGTAACAGCTCGTGGGAACTCGCGTCAAATATCCTCGAAATTAAAGGCATTTTGCTTTCTTAGCTGTCTTTAATACTAACAAATAAAAAAAAAACACCACGATTTCGACCCTTTGGAGCTTGAGCTGCATATTCCTTAGTACGAAATCGACAATTAACACATTCATAAACTTGGTATTCAATCTATCCTTGCATCTTGAAACTCAGGAATGAACTTGTACTTCCTGTCAGAAGCACCACGTCGTTCAATAACTGTTACTCCATTACTACCCTAAACAACCATCACTCCAAAGCCACTTTGATGTTTTCAACTTTCCTGAGGTTTGATCCAGTATTTCAAACGCAATTTCAGCTTACCTATGTACATACTTCAGTCAGCCGAACTCATCCATCTACAGTGACGATTCTTGAAAGTTGGCAACATTGTTTTTTCTCCATTTAAATCTATGTAAAACAATCGCTTCTAGGTGAGGCAGCTTGCCTCACCTAAAATCGATATTTTTAATGGGTTTAAATAGAGGAACAACCTTAGGATAAGTTTTAGGCCTCGGCGAGTAAAATACTCCATTTTATCCGTGGTAAAAATTGCTCATATCTCGCCCAGGAGTTGATTGCCGGTCTTCCCATTGTGTGAATCGTCATCTGCGTGAGGTTGTGAGGAGATAACATGAAACATGTTCCTCCAGTTCGGACCTTGTCTAGTCGCCGAATACGTTTTACAAAGTTTCATGAAGTTTCTCATTCACTGGAAAAAAAAAAAAAACACTTTGGATCAAGAGTCCGGACTCTTAAAAACATCGACAAGAAAAAATACTCTTGATTCAATCGGATTTTAGCTTAAATCAAGAACCAAGCCTCTTAATTTGAGCGGGTTTCCTTTTGATCCAAGCAAAAATCTGATTGAATCAAGAGTAATTTTTCTAGTCAATGTTTTCAAGAGTCTGGACTCTAGATCCAATGTGTTTTTTTTTTTTCCAGTGTTGCTGGTCAATCCCCAGTCGGAAAACGCTCAGAAGCGGCAACAATGTAGCTGGTCCCAAGCCGTTGGACTGTTGGAGTCTCGGCCGCCGACCGGCCAATCCCGACCTTCCTCAGCACGCTGCGATCAACGTTGCCGCTCTTACGTAAATCTTACGTCGGTCTTATGGAGGAAGCTCTGGGAATTCGGCGCGGCGGCAACGGTCGCCGCAACTGATTCTTATCCCGGGTGGAGCGGGGGTGGGGGCAGCATCCGCTGAAGCAGACCAGACGGGCAAGCCAGAGCTCAGAGGTCCACGGCTGAACGGAGGAGAGCAGCCTCTCCTGTTCCAGGAAAATCTGGGATTTCATGCTCTGCCGGGAACGAGCCGGGGCCTTAACCCGTGGCGGCAAATACGCGGCTTTGTTTACTGTCCCTCTTCAGAATCGTAGCTGGAGGTGGACGATGGAGGATGGAGTCTTTCGGAATGTCCAAAGTTTGAAAAATCCAAAGCGAAAATCGAGAGACGAGGAAGGCTGTCAGATACTACGGAGTGTGTTCCGTTCAAAGAGTGAAAATTCAAAACCCGTGGGCCGATTGTTGAAATTGATAGACAAAGCGATAGACAAAAAAGACATAGGGAGTATGGAGCGATCCTATTGGTTGAAACGGTTAGTTCACATAGACCAAGGGAGAAAATGATGGATTACAGCTATTGGGTCTCTCGTCTGTAACTTAGTCTGTTATCTATCTTCTTTGTCCATTGCAACCACCCATTTTGACCAACAAGATCCCTCCATTTACCTTTTGCCCTCTTTCGGAAGTCTCTCGGAATGTCCAAAGTTTGAAAAATCCCAAGCGAAAATCGAGAGACGAGGAAGGCTGTTAGATACTGCGGAGTGTGTCCCGTTCAAAGAGTGAAAATCGAGGCCGATTGTTGAAATCGATAAACAAAGCGATAGAAAAAAAGACATAAAGCGTATTTTCGTTGATGGTCGGTCGAGTCAAAATGCCGCGACAATGACGGCGAGATCATAATCGGGCTTGTAAACAGATTTTCGAAATTGATGCTGGTCGGATACCATCATCTTCAACCGGTCATTTCTAATAGTCGGTAACAACTATACCCGTTTCAACCAATGCGACCGACCTACTTGCCCGTCGTTTTTTGTCTATCTATTTTAATAATCAGCCCACTGCTCCGAAAAACTGCACGTTTAGACTACCAAAGTCACTCGTCCAAGTATAACTCACATAGAATAGTTTAATTTACGTCCAATACGTGTACTTCACAAATGTCACCATCGACATCTCTGGAGACTTAAACGCAGGAGTAAGAAAGTAAGCGACAATTTCAATTATCAGCCCGCAGGTGGTTTTGCATGATTGTGCGGCTGTTTTTCTCTTCCGGTATAAATAATCAGTGAAACATAGTCGAGATGCAAAGAAAACAATCGAATACAATACCGATCTTAACCATATCGATCTTGATTAGTCAAGATCAGTAAAAAATTAATTATGTTTATCAGGCATTTCGAGCACCGATCAATGGGTCATTTGGATATTACATTTTGCTATAAGGAACTGCTATTTCTGAACCACTTTAGAAACAACATACATGCCATTGATTTCCCTACGCAGATATGTGCTTCCATGGAAGAGCCAGAGATAGTGGTTCCTTATTGCAAAATGTAATCCATTCTTAAAAGAGTCGTTTTGGAATTTCCCAGACGGAAGAATTTAAGAATGTAAGATCTGCATCCCGACGCCGCAAAATTTCGTTTTGCAAATTGCATTTTTACTATACCTACAAATCAATTCACTGGAAATAAAAACACATTGGATACCTATAGAGTCCAGACTCTTGAAAACATTGACAAGAATAAATACTCTTGATTCAATCAGATTTTTGCTTAAATCAAAAGGAAATCCGCTCAAATTAAGAGGCTTGGTTCTTGATTTAAGCAAAAATCCGATTGAATCAAGAGTATTTTTTTCTTGTCGGTGTTTTTAAGAGTCTGGACTGTAGATACAATGTGTTTTTTTTCCAGTGTTAGACGATTCTAGCTGAAAACTTTACTGATTGGACAGGAAAATGACTATTTACAAGTATGTCAATTAGAATGAAGCACACAGTTGCGATATGTACAATGTACGTACTCTCTTTCGATTAGTTCATGTTTACATAATTCCTTCCAATACAAATACGTCCATGATTAATTAATCGCAAAATAATCATCATAAAAACAGAGCGGAGAGCAGTCGGAGGGGAAAATTCTGCTCCGCTCCGGTTCGCCCGAAAAATTTTATGTAGTCAATAGTTTGCACACGGCGGTAAAAACGTAAATAGTTTGTAAAAAAGAACGATCTCGGACCAATACCTATGCTAAGTGGGTAACGTTTTACTTTGAACGCGGAAATCAAAAATTTATAGAGGAATCGAATTGGTCTTTATAGCATGATACATGATACACATTGAACAAAATTCCGAGGTTTGTACAGAGTTTTCTTGCTCTGTGATCAATAAATTATCACCGCAAAATAATAAGGAACCGCTCATCTATGGCATGACTTTCATGGCAGATACTATGATACCACTTACTTACCGCGGAGGAGTCCGCTTTTGCCTACCCTCTAAAATGAAGGAAGTAGCTAACAGCCGGGAGGGATCCTCTAATAGCAGCCACGCACCATCGGACACAGTGCATTCACGTGTTTCGACAAGATGGATTCTCCTTCATTTGACAAAGTAGGCAAAATGCGTTCCCGAGAGCATCTATAGTGGTATCAGGACAATACGAATGGATTTTCCAGTTGCCCCGAATATTTTGCACCCTGCCTTTGCGAAAGTCACGGAGCGGTAGAATCACTGCCAAGCATTTGGATTAGGGGTTTTTCCGTAGCTTTTCATACAATACCCTCGTTAAATCACATTTATTCTCTTAGGAATCCGAGCTTTTCTTTTTAACTTTTTTCCCCATTATTTTTTACTGCTATTCTTTTTTTGTATTTTATTCAATGAAGAATTTGTGCACAGAGTTAACGGTTCTTTGGAAATGAACTTTACAATGGCGATAGACGCTCTTGACGGCTCCATAAAAAAGTGGAGCAACCCCCTATTCCGGCGGGCAAGTCCAACAAGCGCGATTATGTTATCAACGAAAAGTGAACTCCGCCGAACTCATGCTGGCAGTGTAGATAACCCAACGAAAACCGCGCCAACTTATGTGAGCGTGTGTAAGCACAAGGATTGTTGCGTGTGTGTTCGCGGCTCCCCTACCACAACAGATTCCACTTCCCCTCATATTCCCCTACGTCCCTGCTCATTAATACTTTTCGCCTTCTCTATCACCTGTTTTCTTTGTTACTCAGTTCGCCAACTGTCAATGTACCGTGTTGTCAGTTAGGCTGGAGGTTGCAGGGAACCTTTCGGCTCGGCCCATGGTGCTTTGAAGCCGTTGGTGATACTCAGTAAATTAAGTGTACAGTATAGTTCTCCGTAGAATTAGTTGAAGTGCATTAAAATGTTATCGTTTGTGTGAAATATCGACGAAGTGATGCGGACCTGACTCCCGGCAGTGCTATTTGCAACGAACTTCTAAGTGTACGTGTACGGATTTCATAGCGTCCAAAGTTGCATTTCTGCATCGGCTTCCTAACGACTTGCAATTTCACTAACCGAGCGATTTCCAGTGGTTTCCTCAACTTCTCTAGTCTGTTTTTGTTTTCCTTTTCGTTTTAAATTTGCCAAAGCCTTACCAAATATCTGTCCACTTCGTAACTCTATTCTTTACAGTTTATCTACCTCTATTATCCGTTATCTAGTGATTTACCTCTCAGACTACTTGCCCTCTTCAAATCAGCCTATTTCTCTTTCAAACTTTTTAAGTACACCTCTGTGTCGTCCCGGGATGAGTGAAAGTTGAAACTTTCCTGTAAAGCGTTATTTGAACCGAGAGCTATATTCATCGTCTAATTCCTTCAAGTTTTGAGTCAATTTGTGATCTAATGTGGGGTCTAGAAAACATCACAGAAATGTGGATTACCATCATGATGTTCATTTTCTGACCCGAGGAATCTTCCCTTATCGGTAATTTGTGATAACTATCTAGTTAAATTAGCAGATAATCTCGAGGGTGAGTATATTTCTCTCTGCATTATTTTAATCTGTTGCCTTTGAGGGTAGCCTTTAACTAAATATTCATTGCGTTATCACGAGCTGTGATTTTAAGCGTTTGTAGTATCTAGATGCTTCTTGTGGGAATGAATACCAAGGGGAAATAACCTAGCCAGGATTCACAAGCTACACTAACTTCAGATTGCATTGCAGCACATGTAATTCATGGATTTTTTGTTGGTGGAGGAATTGAGGGATCCAAGCATGTACCAAAGTAGCAGATGATTCTCGTCTATTTATCCAGAGATTCATCCCTCTCGTTTTTAGATTCTAACTTTTGTTCCAGTCTTATTAAGTGATAGATGATCTATTTGAGGGCTAAGGAACCATTGAGGCGCACAAGATTATCCATTTCAAGGGCTGAGGAACAATCACGGTGCATAAGCACTGTTTTTGAAAAAAAATTGAGGTATTCATGAACTCAACTGAAGCTAGTTAGAAAGTATATTCTGTGTAAAATTTGCAACAAAAACTAGTCTTAATGCTAATTCTGCGAAAAATTTGCTCCCAAATTCCAACTTCAAAGCATGAAGAAGTGAGTTCAAACCTCCCTTCTGCCACAAGACTCCGAGTAATTTTGAAACTTAAAATAAGTACTTCTTGATATAGCGGAAACTGCACCTAACTAACAATTTTGGCGTAAATGAGTTAGCAACTTTGCCGAATTCTTCAGTATTAAATTCGTAAGCTAATGATTTTAGTTTTTTGCAATTCTGCATAAGAGCGCTCTAAAGATGCTGCAATGCATTAAAAGAATTGCAATTCAAACAACAAAATTACAAAAATGGTTAAGATTCCTCTCTTTCCTGCATAATCATTAGTTTGCAGAAAGGTAGCATTGTTCCTTAGCCATCAATCTCTTCTCTTCCTTTTAATTTGACATATTTATGCTGAAAGGAACTATGTTGCACACAAACCCTACGCGCATAGCTCCTTTTAGCAAAAATACATCCAATTTTCACTTAAGTGCCCTTGATTCTGCAGATTGCAATAAATTTGCTTTTGCTTTCTTGTTCCGAGGCTGCTGGAAAATCAAGGTGGACTTGTCTGCTGTCTTCTTTCGCCATGGTCTAGACCCCTTCAATTTTTCATTACTTTCTCACAAGGTCATGTTTTCACCCTTGATTTTGAGGAGTTAACATTTATTTATTCTTATTTGGTGGCTCTCTGTATGCGAAATTTCAGCTCTAGAAGTAGTAGCCCTTAGTTTCTTTGTCTTCTGCTTTACCTGGCACACTTTGCTGTTATTTTTGTGAGACACGCACAGCTCTGTTCCTCAATTTTTACCAACTCCAAACTCAACCATTCAAAATCCTCCTCAGATTTGTAATATTCAGATTGTGTCAGGGATTACACTGAATTGTAACTCCCTGCTTCTAAACTTGATAACCTTTTTGACATTTAAGCCATTTTCTTTCCACCCTTTCTGCTTTCATCACCCATTTCATCTGTGTCAAACTATTTCAGGAATTTTTTGTTTTAATCCTCTTTTCTTATGCAGTATTCAATCATTCAAATTTTATATTTTTTTTATGTCGGCGGTCATGAAAGAAAGATTGCTTACCTTCAAAATTTTAGCAAAATCGCAATGATTTCAGAGGGAAAGGCCTTTTTCCCAATGAAGTTTCATTCATCTTGGAAAATGGGCTTCCTCAAAAAAAAAATTGAGAGAGAATCAGCAGAGAATCAATATATTTTGCTTGCTTGATGCAATGGATGGTATTTGAGCCAATAATTCCCAAGACCATATCTGATGTTTAGAGTTACCTGTTGGCATTATTGAAGAAGTTAATCCGTGTTTACAACCCTTGTAGATTCAGTGCCTCTACTAAATTCTGACCGAGATACCCTATCAAAAGCATCTGTCATGGTTAATATAATCATAAGATATTAGAATATGAAACTTTAAAAGGTAAATTGTTTGCAGCAACTCAAAGTGCATGATTCAGCAGCAAAAATATTGGTGCATTAGCTGTGAAATACAGTTTGCACACTTTATCTCTCAAGTGGCAGGCTGAAAAGCTTCAGATACCTATGCTCTCATTCGAGTACTTGATAGGTTTTCATAAGTTCAGAGGATAAGGTGTCGAGAATTATTATAAAACAAGTAATCTCGGACAACTCTTAATCAGGCAATTTTGACAAGGTATCCAAAAATTCTAAAATCACTAATAGTCGAATAATTGAGAATTGCCCTTAAAAATTTGAAACATCAGAAACTCTTCCAAAAATTCTACTCTGAAAATGAGATGACTCATCACACCAAACTTTCTGCAAACCATTTTTTGCTGTATGTTTTCATTTCAAAGCGTCTAACATCTACGGAGTTGTGATTGATATGAAGATAATGCAAAAAAAAAGTGTGCATGACTTGCAATTGCGTATTTCATAGCAATTTGCTACCCAAAGTGGCTCGCTCTTTTTTAAGCTGAGGCTATCTTTGTTGGGTAACTTTATTTTTTATTTATAAAAAATAAAGTTATATATTATAGCATTATATATTATGTTTTATAGAATTTTAACAGATCTGCTATCTTATCCATCATTAAAATTGAAATTTTTATCTAACTTTCTTTCTCCTTCTGTTTCAGAATTAAAATTCTGTCTTGAAAGTCTGGAATTATGAACACTCCCAGCAAATCTTATCCATTACAAAGAAGAATGGCGCCCGGATCGGCAGACAAAGAAAACTCAGGATACATGCTGTTAAAAAGCCCCGCCTGTCCTTTCCTGAGCCCTGCCAAAGTAAGTTTTTCTGTTGCAAATACTTGCCTTTGATAATTGTATTGCTCAAGAGTAGGCATTGCAATGAACAAGCAGTTCAGGTTCATGAGAGGAATTCTTCAAATTCCACCATTCTTTTCTTCAGTAAAAGCATATTAGTTTTATTACATGTCTCTCATTGCGTAACAAACTCTTTGGAAGCAGGTAAGTAAACTCGCTCTTGAAAATTCAGGATATTTTGCTTTTGAACCGAAAGATTTATGGCTCAAATCCAGAACATCTTAATTGTTTTCTTCTGCACTTAATTATCAGCCAAAATTTGAACCTGCTAAGTTCACACTCATGTTTTCTATTCACTCGTAGCGTAACTTCTCCAATCTAAGTCTAATATTATGTATTTTTTCAATTTCAAGGTACTTTCAGTCTCAATCCTGAAGGATAAGCATTTCCATATTAAAAAACCTTGGAAACTCAAGAAATTTTGACCCCTAAGAGAACTTTTCATGCGTGACTGAACCTTGTAAAAAGTTTGAATTATTTGAGTATGAATCAGGGTAGTTGTATTGACAGATCTAAGATTTTTATTAAAGGATTTCTGTTGCTGCATAGTTATCGACTGCATAAGGACTCAAATATTTGACTAGAAAAGACAAGGAGTTTAATTTTCCATAATTACGTTTTAAAGATTAATCTGGAATATTTTATGAAGATACGCATTTTTAGATTAAATTGACGGTGTAAGTCGGCAATCACATAACTCAGTTTACGACGTCGCAGACTTCCTGTCATACTTTATTTTTTAAACGGAAAACTACTCGACGGCAATTCCTTAAAACTGCCGTGATTTTTCTTCTCTGTGCAAAGAAGATTCTGCAAAAACTTCAAGGAATGATGTCAATTTGTTCTCCTTTAAAAAAATAACATTGAGGTGGAGATTTTAAGACACCGCAAATGAGTTATGTGATTGCCGACTTACACCGTCGAAATGTCTCATATTGCATTGAAATTGACAGTAGTATGCAAAGGCAAGGCATTTATTTCTAGAATTTCACATCATCTAAGTTGAAATGCTGAGATGAGTAACAAAATTGGATTCTAATAACTTCTTTTTTCTTTTTCCAGATTTCAAATGAGAATTCTTTGTTGCCACCGGATTTTCAGTCACTTCTCAGTGGAGATATTCTTAGTGACCAAGTCAGTAATAGCCTGTCAGCTGGCTCAGAATTTAGATTTCCAGTACATTTAAACCATAAAAACAATGTTGAAAGACAAGGAACACCTAGCCGCGTAAGTAAATTTTCATTGTATCTAGCTTGTATTACATGTAAACAGTGTTTTGGCAGTGTTCCATGGAAAAATTTTCATTCCCGTTAATACTTTGATGATAGATGCTAAATGGATTGCATTTTGCAAGAAAGAAGCAAAAGAATTCCAATGTCTCTAAGATTGTGCAACTTTTTTTACTCTGAAAATATAAACTAATCATTCAAACAAGTTTTATCTATAATCTCAATAAACTATAAATTCAAGATAAGAATTGCCTTGTAAATGTAATTTTTTGCATGATGCTAGTCATTTTATTGCAGAAAATGCAAGTTGCACAATCCTAACAACATTGGAATGCTATTGGTTCCTTTTTGCAAAATGCAATCCAATTCATGTTTACAAACGTGCGATATGTTCACTCATAATTTAAGGAGAGAAATAGCTCCTCAGTTTCTCCTTTAAGTATGAACTGAAAATAAACAGTTCTTTAGAATAAAAAAATTTAAGTACTAAAATTGTTCAAAACCATTGTCATTTGTTATCCGAAGTCCAAATGGTCTGATCTCAGCGTTTTCTCAGGAAAAAGAGCCAAAATTGAATGATTAATCAGATAAAAGACTTATGCTATTAAGTAAGCAGGTTATATCAACCAACCTTTTTCTGTTTGTACCTCAAAGTGTCAATTTTTCCTCACTGTAGATCTTCCAAAAAACCAACATTTCGCAAAAGTTTGATCTACTTTTATTTTGTCATATCAATGGCTAAAGTGAAAAATGCTCATCTTAGGTTGTGATGTTGTCAGTCTTCCCTCTTAAAAACTACAAAGGGAAACTAAGGAACAGTTTTGTTGGGGGATTTTCTCTGCAATTTCTTCTTTCATTCTAGGTACAAAGAAAAAATCAAAAGATTGTAAGGAAACATTTTGATCAGTTTTCTTGATGGGAATCAGACATAATTGGGGATATTTAAACGCTGCATCAGGGTGTCTACTAGTTCAGAATTCTTGGAAAGTCCTGAAATAGTACTGATTTTTTCAATTAGTGATTAAAAAAGAAAATTTCTTGGGAAGTAAAATTATCATGGCAGTAACTTGGAACTAGTTCAAGTTCATTTTCTTTCCGTAAATTCTCAATGATACTTTTTCACTCCCAAAAATTCACTGCCTGTGCATCTAAGTTCCCTTTCTGAATGGTTAGAATGTTTTTTTCTCTTAACTTTTTTTTTATCAGCTTTATGCACCTTAGAGCTTAATAAACGTAGATTTTATTTTCCCTTCCCCTTAAATTTAGGATATTCCTGTTCTAATTTTTATCTTACTTTCTGTGCAGCTATGTAGTCCATTCTCATTATCAACCAATTGCCGTACACCTAAAGCGTTGTCTCATGAAGGTATTCTACCTCTGACGCCTCACGACAGCAACACAAACAAGAGAGTAGCAGACCCAACCATACTAGAAGAGGACTCCCCTGTAATAAAACGCAATAGACTGCTTGATAATTCAACACTGAAGGATAGGAATTCGTTCGTAATCAGTCCAATGGTTCGTCATAAAACAACTCTCCACGACTATGGTTTCAATCCAGTGTCTTCGCGGCCGAAGCTGTATCGTTCGTTCTCAGAAGCCGTAGATGCTAAGTCTGCTGTGGATCGCTCGAACTTAGATCCTAATCTGATTGGAGACTACAGTCGACCATGTATTCTGCCCCTAACCCTTGGAAAACATGTCGATCTTAAAAGCATCTCTTGTGATACATTAGCCAAATTAATGAATGGAGATTTTAGTCAAGACATTAAATCTTTCACCATAATCGACTGCCGGTAAGTGGCTTTTATATTTTTGTATTATTGTTCTAAGACTGTAAAATTTCTATTGTGAGAACTGTTGTCATTATTTCTATCTTGTACTTTTAAATTGAGACTTTGGATAGTCAAGCATTTCATCTGCCTGTTCAGGAGTTGTAATTTAAGTAAAATTAGAAAGTATGCAATCTGTAAGTAGGAATTCAATTTTCATTGCAAAAAATCTGCATGCAAAAATACATGCTAAAGAACATGACTTTTCTACCTCCATTTTCATTTTCTTAATCAATAAAAGTAGGAATGGTCTTCATTTGTGTTTTCTCAGCATACTGCATCCTGATGTACCTATTTTTATTTTTTTGTTTTTGTATTGCTGATATAAAATGCCATTAAAGCATAGACTTATTTGCATAGTTGGAAAAAATCTACAATCACAGCCTGAAGATGTTTTGTCTGTTTTATTTTGTTTTTTCTTATTATGCAGAAATGATATCTATGTTTTCGTTCCCCAGGTATCCGTATGAATACGAAGGTGGTCATATTAGAGGCGCTAGAAATATATATTCTGAAGAAGAAATTGTTAAACAATTTGTCGATGTAAAGAAGAAATTTAGTTCAAATTCAAATACTTCAAGTGTAGATTCTAAGCATCATGTTCTAATATTTCACTGTGAATTTTCATCAGAAAGAGGTCCAAAATTGTAAGTATCCAGCATTACTGCTTTCTTTTTTTTAATTCATTCCACCAAATAATGTTTCTTTACAAGAAGTTCCGACAAGAAGTCAGGCAGAGTTTAGATTGTTTGTCTTGTTCTCCGCCTTGACAGTGGATCAGTCAGCGCAGTCGCAGAATCGTGTTTTGATGATTTCAGATCGAAGATCAACAAACAATAAGAGTTCTGTCCTAACATTAAGTTTCCACATCCAATATCAAAGGACATATCGCTGTTTGAAAAACACTGTGTATGTTGTCATCCACTGGGATGGAATGTACCATGGTTTTTCCACCTTAGTATTATCCTTGTGTTCTAAGTGGAGCATTCATTGAAAAAATGCAATAGTGTATTTCCCTCGGAAAATACACTAAAATGTGTGTATCTTTAATTGATGAACCCAAGGTAGAAGGAGCCATGGTATGTACTATCACGGAGGATGATCTCACTCTCTGGTGTTTCGAAGGGTAATATCTCTATTAACATCGGATGTAGAAATTTGGCACTCAGATCTCATTCATTTTTGATATTGTATGAGCATAAATCATTAAAACATAATTCTGAAACTAGGGCAACTGATCTATTGTCACAATGTTTTCTGTGAAGAGAATGATAGATGTACTGTAAAAGCACTGATTTTGAATTGTTTGCATGGAAGTGCAGAGAATATATGGATTTTTTATGAAAAGGTTTGGGAGTACAGGATTTTTATGATGAATTTAAAAAAAAAAAACAGCCTTAGCAGTGAACAGTTTCTTAACATTGCCCACTTTATGTTTCTGCAGTTCAATTCCTTGTTTTTTCATTTCATAGTGGTATTTAGTGGTTCATTTTTTTATTTACTTTTTCATTTCACTTTCAGAATCCAAATTTTATAGAATTTCGTTTTTGTTGCTCAAAGCCAAAGTTAACCCTATTTTTTTTTTCAAATGAATACCATAGCCCTCATTAAATTCTTGGTGCTGTATACTGTATATTGATAATCATCGGAGTACTAAGTTAACTATTTGTGTTAAATATTGAAAAAATTATCAATTCATATCTTTGGGAAAAATTTCTGACCCTTATAGCAAGAAGCACCGATGGCTACCAAGGATTTAAATGCCTGTGCTAATATCAACATCTTTGTCGCAATGTTGATTTTGACTTTTTGTGCGAGCAAAAAGCTCTAATTTAAATTAACCAATCACTGATTCTTCCTTCGTGTTGAATTTAGAAATTTTCAGTAAGTTCAATATATCTCGCTAGCAATTTCGAAGAAAAATCATGTCTTGTCATGCTTGAATCCTTACTCTTATCCATTGTTGTGTAACCCATTGTAGAAAATATTTGAAACTTAGTTCTGATACTCAACTGTGATAATTTTTTTTTCAGATGTCGGTTCCTGCGGAAACAAGACCGGCAAAATAACTTGTATCCCGATTTGCATTATCCCGAAACGTACCTGTTGCACGGAGGTTATAAAGCATTTTTCGAAAAGTATCGCACGTTATGCGAACCTTGTAGCTATTTACCAATGGTTCATCCGGACCACGAGGACGAACTGCGCCATTTTAGATCCAAGTCGAAAACATGGAGTGCTGGACAACCCAGCGGGAGTAGAGGATCGCTAAAATCCAGCTTTAGACGATTAGGGTTTAGTTAGTTATTCTTTTAGTGTGCACCAGGGTTTTTTCTTTTTCTTACTCTTTCTGATTTTTCGCTTTTTTTTTTTTTTATTTCTGTCGATCACTCTTCAACTGGACTCACTCCAACTGTTCTAAGTTCTTAGCTCAATTCTATGTTCTTTCATCTTAACAGCTTAACCGAATCTTTTTTTATTTATTTATTTTTTTTTTTTGATAAACAATGACTATGATTTGCAGAACGAATGTAAGTTGTCTCTTTCAAAAATGGTTTCTCAGTTCCATAGAATGTCTTAATTTTTCTCAGGTTTTTATTGCTCACTTAATGCTATGCGTAACTTATTTGAAATACTTATTTAGAGTAGAGTATTTTTGCAACAAATGACATCTCTCAGGGTTAGAGCCAGAGGGGCTACATTTTAGCCTAACATTGTAAAGTTTCACCCCACAACTTGCTTTATTCACTAGAAGGTGCATGTTTTGTACTGAAAATTTTAGAAACTGTTTTGTAAGCCCCTCAGAAAATTCTTTTAAATTTTATTTGAAAATTTGTAACTTGTTATTCAGTAAACAAAAACAACGAAAAAAAGTATCACTAAATGAAACTTCACAACATTGTATTCTGATAAAGCCACCCTGGCTGTAACTTTATTTACTTGCTGGAACTGTAAGCTTCAAGCTCATTTTTTATTGACACATTTTTGGGAGGAAACCGTTCATGAGGCCAGGTTTCTCATGAATGATTTTCAGATGTCAGTTAATTGATAATGTACTCTTACTGCTCAATTTTTGAAATTGCTCAAACTTTTTTTTCGGATTTGCATCTCAATTTTTGTTTATCTGAAAGTATCAGTGAAACTCTGTTGAAAATTATCTGTATTTTCAGCTACAACTTAGATTTCCTTGACTAGTGAATGTGGGCAATCAGTCGGCGTTCCCTGAAGAATGACTAACGAAGTTGAACTTTTAAAGAATCAAATTTCTGCTACATGTAAAACTGAGAAATCAAATTTGAAAGTTTTTTTATGTGCCATGCATTGTGTTACTAATTTTGGGATTTTCTGTACGCTCTGTAATGGCGTTTGAAGGCTCTAATTGGGCTTGAAAACAGGAAAGGATTCCTAAATTCAAAACTCAGTCATTTGTTTATCATATTGCACTCTGGGATGAGTTTTTAATTCATCCCGAGTCTATTTCTTCAAATCCTGTCTATTGAAGCTTTCATTTTTTTGAAACAGCAGTGGCATTGTTGGGTGTTGTGTTAATGGGTCATCATCAACCAAATAATCCTACCGCCAGCAAAGCCACTGTTGCTCAGAAGTTTTTAGGTTAGGCGCGGATGGAAACTAAAATATTTAAGACTGCGATGAATCAGTATCACTGCCTCCTCCTTATAATGAAATTGTGTTTGTATAAATAATGATCTCCATCCGTTCATGTTTGAGAGAAGAGCACTCGTTTTTATTTCACGCTTTTATTTTGTAATAATGTTCAACGATAAAAATGTGGAGAACAGTTGTTTTTAGTTTTCAGAGTTTATAATTAAGTGTTTCGAAACCAAAGTTATGGTAGAGCTCAAGTTTTTTCTCTTAGACTGAAAAGGGTCCTGTTGCAATGTGTAGCTTAGTGATTTCAGTTTATGGAGCATCTTGATGGTGTAACTGGAAAAAAATTCTCTCAATTGTCAACGCTCTTATTTTCTCTTTATGGAGAGGGCCAAGAATCGTTTTTAATGGAATTATCAAAAAAATTCACACACTCAAGTTTTGGGAAACAATGGGCTTGGTTTTTCTGCAGAATAACAATGCGACTAGAAATTTGGAATGTTGCAAATCAGGAATCATTTTTTCCAGTACACCATCGATTGTAGATGATCAAGATTTGTGTCAAATTTTTGAATCAGAGTCAAATTTCTTACGCTGGAATATGATCAGACCTCTTTCTCTTATACTCAAGATAAGTTACTGCAAGTGTACAGCGTTTTAGAATTTCTCTCTTATTCTTTGTCACAGCCTCTTGCTTCTCTACGGTCACCCTTTGTTTTACTCAATCGAGTGTTTTAGCTGGATGTCAAGGTGATGCATGCCTTTACTTTAATCTAACTTGTATAAGTTCTTTTTGCCTGTTCTTGTTGGAGATTTGTATCAATTGCTAAAGCCAGTTTCAATTTTTTGAATGCACGAAAGTTGTCTAGGAACATCAAACGAATTTTGCTAAGTTCGGTCTCATCATACATTTGTATTAAAAATACGAAATGACTGCATCCAGAAGCGCAATTCAGTCAGGAAAAATCTCCTTTAGAAACTCTTAATCACAATTGAAAGTATTCGAACACAAATCATGACAGAAAGTCAATTTGACAAGTCAATCCGAAGGATGGTTTTAGGGGATACTTCCAATTTTAATTTAGCGTTGCTGAAAGTGATCCATTTATGAATTGCCAACTACGCTGTGCTTCTTGGCGTGATTGTTTTGTTTCATTATAAAAATTTGAGCTGGAACCACTGTTTAAGAAAAACTGTCTCAACTTGTGGATGTTGATTTACTTTAACTAGGCATATAACGAAGTTGTAATGGTTTGGTCACCATAATCTTGCTCATATGGGGATTCATTCAGTGGAAAACCTCTCATGAAATACCTCTTTGTTCACCTTAAATAACATTAATGTAATTTCAATCCTTAGCAAAAACGCTGTCTTTGCTTTTTTTCTCTCTATTGACCGTTCTGACCCTTGCAGTGGAAAACGGGGGGAAGCGAATTTTTTTTTTCTTTCTTTCTTTCTTTCGTGGAAGGCAAGAATGATAAAATGTTGCATTATCTCCCTCAAGGACAGCAAAGAAATAGGTAACAACAAGTAAATGTACCACCAACTCATGTACTTCAATATTGACGAGGGTGCAATTAATGTCAGTTTTAGAATATGTAGGGGAGGTTATTTGATTTTTGGGGCATGATTTATCCCAGATTTTCATCAATTTTGAAAGCCAAAAGCTCTCGGTTCCAAGATTCCAGAGGTTTTAAAGACTTTCACAGTAGAATCAACTTGCACAGAGTTCTTGCTACAAATTCTGGGAGACATGCCCCTCAAATGTTAATATCCGTGGAAGATGAAATCAAATTAACCATTTTATGCGAGTCATTCGAAATTTGTGCATGATTTTTTTAAAGTTGTTTATTGAAGCAGCAATTCCAGTCCTCCTTCACCATATGTATCTAATTCTGCCTTGATTGGCGTCTTTCATGTTAAGGGTATCTACTAAGTAGGCCGTTATGGGTTTGCTTTTTATTATCTCCCTTATGTGTATGAAATGTGATTTTATTGTGTTAGTGCTGGAAATGAAAATGTAATTTGATTTTAATGAATTTTTTCTTTTACTATCTCTAAAAATGAAGAAGATGGCAGTTGCCAACCCACCTCTTGATATTAGTTCCTCATTGTTTAGCCATCCATGAAAATTTATTCTAGAATGCGAGTTTCATGGAATTTAATCTAATGGAAAAGGAATTAAAACAAATCTCCCTCATTTTAAGCACGAAACTAAAATGATATTGTTTGTACTGCTTGTTAAAAATGTAAGTTAGAAAAATAAAATTATTAAATCTGTAAAGCAAACATTTCTTCAAATTTTCTGAGTATTCACCTATCCTGATGATCGGTTTGCTCAGCAACCGAATAGATCTGTTAAGTGGAACCAATTGCTTGTTGCAAAACAAAAATCCATTCAAATATTTCATAGTTGCCAGGGACAGTTCATTTTTCTATAGGCGTTTAGTGGAGCAAATTTCCTTGGATATAGTATCGAATTGGGTTTGTCATAAGAATGAAAGACAAGTTAAAAGAAAAAAAATCTTTTGAGTTAATTTACACTGAAGGCCTTACCCTCGTGGCTTGCCTTACATACTTAATCCAAGACCAGCCCACACAGAAACAAGTTTTGAAACCCTGCTGCACATTGGCCGCAGGAAGTTAACATGTAATGCAGTTCTTATAGGAGCAGCTGATACTATTTTGCACTGGCTGCAGTTAAGTGAGAACCAGGCTGAGGAGTATATTTCAAAGAGATGTGCAATGACTGTGTGGATTGGTCTCGACTTAGTTAATCTGAGTCTTGAGGCTTTGGGACAGTGAGGATAAAACAGCAAGCAGTTGCGGCTTTAATTTTTTATTACGCTTATTTACATTATTTTCTACCTATGTTGTATAACAAATTTTTCCTGAACATGTTCAATTACATTACAAAATTAATATTAACAATCTCTAAAACAAAAGAGGGCTCATTTTCAAATATTAGGCGTGCGCATGTTAGCAATATCTAACAGCAAGATGAATTAATTTTTGAACCTTTGGCCTACATTACCTGAAAATCTTGATTTCAAATCCCGGTGATTAGATCTTACTAAGGATGAAAAAAAAGAGCATTGAAAGCAGTTAAGTAGGTGGATACTTTTGGTTCTGCGTAAGTTGTGACTTGAGGATACCTATGCAGGTTCAAAGTTAGGAGTACAACGAAAGACAGCAGAGGAAGAAAGGATTTTAAACTTCCCTTTAAAATTAATCATCATTTACATTTTTTACATGATGATTTAGATTCTCTTATGGGTACATCTGTCTCCAATATCATTCGATGATGAGTACTTCCTGCTTTCACAGAAAGTGTTTATATAATTTACAAATTTTGGTATCAATGTTCTGATTAGTGAACATTTCCATGAGGAGCAACCAATTTTTAAGTGCGTCAAAACCATCACAGCGCACAAAAGTGTACACCAATGAGTGACAAAACAAATAATTTGGTTTTTTTAAATTGTCAACAATAAAAATTCTTTCGCAGGCGCACTTGTCATTGGCAAAATTTTCTGTGCTTTGAAAATAAAAATGAAAATGCATTTTTAAAAAAAAGTGAGACAATTATAAGGAGACTATCACTAAAGGACATTTAAAGGCAGTTGTGGTTTAAATCATAGTAAATAATTCGTCGTAAGACAGTGAGAAATAGATTGACTACCAACACAAAAACCATAGACAGCCATTACCACATCAAGAAACGAAGAGATTTATACTTGGTGATTTAAGGACAGTCATTAAGCAGTTCTAAGTTTCTGAATTTGAGCGAAAGACCTTAATTTTAGAAGATTTTCGTCTTGTGGCTCTTCAGGGTATCAGTAGCTTACTTTTCTCTTGTATAGCACTTGTAATAGGTCAGTTACACCAGAGTGTGAAAAGCATGTTGTGACGGATTAAACTTAAAGATTACCAATATATGAGATTTGTTCTACTGATAAGTTTTTCGGTCCAATATCAATGAAGCTATCACCTTCCCAAATGCAGATTGATGAACATCTCTCAGCAGGTTATAGTATGCATTGAAGGCTAATAGCAGTCGTTTTCATCAAATTCCTAGGCAGGAGGTCTATCAAACACTTTCAAACTGAAAATCTGAATCTATCGCTCAATTTTGAGGAAACGACGTTTAGAGTAAGCGGGTGTAAGGATGCTCACAAAATCTTCAGATCATTTTGAGCTGTTAAATTAGTTTGGATTACTTGAATGAACAGCGAATTTAAAATATTGCAATATTGTGTAATTTACAAAGTTTGGCATATTTTGGAAAATTAAAATTGACAAGAAAGATATTGATTCGTAAAATTTATGAAAAATATGCAACTTGTTAAGTATATTTAAATGTAGAAGAACAAAACATTAAGAGCTCTTCCTCAATGGATGGGAGACTTCAATCTGAAAAATTTAAGAAACTGTTGGGTTACTGCCTCGGGTTGGATGGTCTTAAACAACGGTTGCCTAGGGCTGGTTGTATAGTAGGGGGATGGGGCTACAACTGAAAAGAGGCTCACGATTACCACTTGCGTGATACTTGAATTTGTAAAAAAAGACATTTTTTTAAAAAGATGCTCACTTCGTCTACTGACTATTGACCTTCAACACATACAATACTTTCTTTCACCTTGGTTCTATCAATGATGTATGCGAGACAGAACTAATGTAAATCAGTGCATTACTGATCAAAGGACCTACGGTAGAATAAACATGGTGTTGACTATCCTACTGGTTGACTTCACATTTTTTTCGGAGGGCAGAACATAGAACACTTATTATTCTTTAATAATCTGTGAGAGTCAACCACCAAAATACAATTCTTAGAGGTGCATGACTGACCCATTGCATGCGGACTCCTAGCTTGTGACGAAGATCGCTTTTAGACGAATACACACACACTTAGGCAAATATTTACGCGAGACAGACTGAAAAATGCTTACATGTATTTATGTGCGAAAATTAAAAATAGAAGACTCGAGGTTTCCCATGATTCAGATCTAAAAAGAGATGTAGAAAAACATACAAACTTGAGCGGCTGATCAGGCCTGTGAAGTATCAGCGCACTGAGAATATCTTAAATTAACAATATTCTTGATAGTCTTTCGTAAAATGCTTGGTAGCGGAGAGAAATTTTTCACAAATATATATGAGTCATGGTAAAAAGACTGACTTTAAAGAGGAAGAGCGAGACAAACGACTGATGAGACATGCTCTTAGATTGCCAGTCTTAAAACCTTCCAATGTTTCATTTTTTTAGGCAAAAACAAACTCTTACTTTTGCACATTTTATTTTCACATTATTAAACTTGTGCATGCGGTGGTGACAATTTCGTTTTCAAAAACATAAGTGGTTTATTTTCGCTTGTAATTTTTAATTTTTATTGCCTATCTGCAACATTACAAACTTAGATGCAGGTTCTTCTTTCACAATTTTGTCACTTAAAGCATTCGATTCTAATACTTTCATTCTTATAGCAAGCGGTGAATAATTAGTACAACCACTTTTTTTACTCACTCGTTCAGAAATAAGATTTCTGTCCTATTGAATGGGTTGTTTACACGAGGGAGCATGCCAGTTTTTAGATGAGTCAGGGGGTTAACAATAAAATTAGGTACCAGCATTTTGGAAAAAGACATATTCTGATTAAGATACCTGCATCCAGTTGGATTGTTGCAAAATATTCCTCAGAAATTTGATGAAAATTGTCAGCAATCTCTCTTATGTCCTGCTCTGTTTCAAGAAAGAGCAAAGACAATTAACAGTAAGTAGTTGAATTTAAAGTTTGTATCCTAGGTAAATATTTAGCCTCTTTCTTCCAAATTCTACTGCACACTTTATGACAATAGATATGTATACATATAGAGCTACAAACACAACACTACAATAGTGCAAAATTACAGATCTTTGAATAATACGTATGCTGCTCTATCTTCATCAAGGTCCTTAAATTTATGTGTTGCTTATGTCCTCAGGAAGATGAGTTGGTTAATTTACTTTCAGCTGAAGCAGGGTGTTCATAGATTTGGCGAGAAAAATTCCCTGACTTTCCCAGGTTTTCCCCAGACCAAAATAATTGAAATTCAAGATGGGTTCAAGTTTTTGATCCCTTTTGCGGCAAGTCTACCTGCAGAGTTGACACTGAGACATGGAGCATATACATGCAAAACAATATTCTAGTCTAAGAGCTGTGCAGTGGTAGAAAAATAGAAAAGGTTGAATGGTTTTCAAAACTATCAATCCTGCTCTTTCACCAGCAATTCTCGGCTCAGGTGAAAATGGACATTGTGGCGTTCACGATTTTTCAATTGGGTCCACGTTTGAGTAAGGGGAGGTAAAGCTCATTTAAAATTGAATTTTCAAAGAAGCTGATATTCAAGACACTTAATGTTGTATACTTGCTGAAACTATCGAAAGAAGATGGTTGAAGCAGCTACAAACCGTGACTCAAGATTGGCTTGAAATTATCAGATGCAACTTTAGATTTTAAGAGTAGACACAAGACTAGTATTTAATGTGCGATATTGACACTGATGTAGTTGAGACAAGAAGTAAAACTGCAGATGCCAAAAGTAGTGTATAAAAATTGATCTGGCTCCGGAAAAGTAAAGAGCACCTTCTAAAACTAAGCTTGCAAATTCCAGTAATTTCTTATGTTTTAAAGTACCTATAAAATATGTCCTTTTTGGATAAGAAGTACACAAATGGATGCAGGATGTATTTACGGACAGGATAGTGATTTACTACTTCTTAATCGAAATACCGTGTTGCATTTTAAAATATTGTAAAGGACAGAGAAGAAGTACTAGGTGTTATTTTGTCCAAAAAAAAAGGGTCTAAGTACTAAGACTGGCTATGCATTTAGTGTTCTAACTAGACTTCCAAGGTACCAAGAGTGCCTTCAAAACTTAATTGCATGGAAATTTATACATTCTGTCAGCCTGTAGACAAAAGCTGCGCTGTAAAAAAAGTCACAAGATTTTCCTTCAGAATCTTGAGTATAAAATGGATCCTCACAATGGGAAGTCCAGAAATCAACACCAACACGAGATATTAACAAATATTATCAACACAGATCAAATGAAATTTGATTCAGGTTTTACATACATCGATGATTACAGTGCAAAACCACGTATTTCTATAGGTGTTGCAGACTTCCTGTCATGCTTTATTTTTTCTTTGGAAAACTGGTCAAAGTAATTTCCTGAAAACTTCCTTGATTTTTCTTCTCTGTTAGCAGAATTTTCTGGATAAATTTCAAGCTGTAAAGTTGCGTTATTTCTCATCGCAAAAATAAAATAGGAGCAGAGCCTTTGAAAACACTTCAACAAAGATACGTCGTTTCGCACTCCAGCCATCAAAATGATGTTGGTTAGTACTCATGTCATTCAACCAATGTTAATTATGAACACTCACAGCTTTATTAGGAGTTCATTTCCAGACGTCATGTTACATGATTCGTTTCCCTTCTAAAATGCAGAGAAAACAAGTTGCGTAGTGCTTCAATTTATATCTTGTCTAAAGGCCTGTTGAAGAATCTGTGTCACTTTCTATTAAAATACTTCTTTGACTTGACAATATACCATCACAGAATCATGAGCCATTAATAAACACTTACAACGACAGATTCATTAGCTCTTGGAAGTCTAAGCTAGAAAAAAACAATCGATGATTGGTGGGTTTGTTCTTGATTTTTTTTCTCTTTACACTTTCAATTTGTATTTTAAACATCAAAATACGCAATATTTCCTTAGATGTTTAATTAGTAAAATGTAACAAAGATTTTTAGTTTTACTTGGATTTAAAGTTAACACCTGGTTTCGCATACCGGAGAGGGAATATCAGCCAATTCCCTATATTAGTGGCTGAAGTCAAACAAAGCAAATCTCTAAATAAAACATTTTAAATTTCAAAGCATGTTCTATATTTTTCAAAGAGGATCAAACTGAAACTCTCACAGAATATTTGTGAATGGATAAAGAAAATTCACAAAAAAGGTAAGAGAAAAAAAAAAAATATTGGTTAGCTTTCTTTTGAAAGAATAAAACACTGGAGGGGATCTGCGACGAGGAAATCTGAGATACGCCTTTTTTAAATTCAGCCATCGATATGTTGATACACCCTATATTTAACTTTGTCCGAGCTAGCGTTTAAAATCCTTGAGAATCACTTACTAAGTTGAGTGATCATAGGAAACTAAAGTAAAAAAGAGTGATACTAAGGTAAAAATGCTGGCAAAAGGACATGTGAACGTTCTTAAGTTCATGTGATCGCTCTAACAAGAGTTTAAAACGCTGATGCTCAATAGGATTATTCAGACGTACAAATAGACATATAAAACAATGAAGACTTAACTGAGGTCTAACCTACATTGTTTCACAACGATACAAAAGATGAGTGAAGGATAAGAGAGATTTTTAAAAAAAATTAGGCTAACAACAACCAAGACAGTTGATGGTTTGATCAAAGTGTAATCTAAGAATACAACAGTCGCGAGGGTCAAATAAGTGAATGGAATTTGCCCGATCACTAAATTTGGTTTGTTTTTGAGAGTGAAGTAAATGATAGAAAAAACACGAAGAGTATACAATGCAAGTCTTGTTTTAAAAGTCCCTATTTTTCTTGCTAGCTATGCATGTTAACAACTAAGAGATGAAACTTGAACAAGCTGTTTTTGGCTATCAAATTTTTGGAATATACTTTTCTTGGCTATAATAATAACTATGGTTGAAGTTTTCAACATATTGATGGTGAAACTCTCGAACCACATTTTTCGGTTTGCGACGTTGCAGACTACCTGTTGTAGTTTAGTTTTTAAGTGGAGAACTACTCAACTTTAATTCTTAAAAAAACTTCCATGATATTTCTTATCTTTTCAAAGCAAATTGTGAAAAAACTTTAAGGAATGATGTTGATTGGTTCCCTTTTAAAAAATAAAATTGGAGCAGAGATTTTTAAACACCACAAACAAAATACGTCGTTTCGGAGTTTCACCATCCATATTTTCTCCTTTCCTCACAATTTTTAGACATGGATTTAGAGAGAATGCAAGTATGAGGAGAATTTTGAAACACTTTTTCACATTTGCAATTAAATAACTTTATTGGCATTTAACAAATTTGCTTCATTTGTATGAAAATCTAGGGTTTCTACCTCCCCATACCTACTGCAAGAATTAACGAATAAAAAACTTCTGCGGAAAATGGTATGTCATAGATAGAAGTCCATCGGCAGTTTTAATTAGACAAAAAAACAAACCAAGGAATTGGACTACATTTTGTAATAAGAACCTGCATTTCTAGCTCATTTTAGAAACAATGTGCACGTCATTGCTTTCCTTCTGCAGAAAGGTTCTTTTAGGGTTGAGTCAGACATGGTTGTTCCTATTTGCAAAATGCAGTCTAATTAGATTGAGGAGAGTGACATCTTGTTTTGAAATTTAGGCAAATATTAAAGATAATTTCAATGTAGAGCTGCAGCTTTGTCAATATAAAAGTTTCATTTGATTTTTAGCCTCCCCCCCCCCCCCCATCAAAAGAAATAGCTTCACATGGATTGTGAAACCTTAACAGCAGTGACACGAAAAAAAATCACG